AATTTGTAGGCTTTCTGGGGGGTAGGACTGTTGTTGAATTCTAACTTTAATCCTTGGTGATCTGATAAGACACAGGTGGTTACTAATATTTTTTTGTAACTGTGTATGTTTGGTTTGTTACCGACTATGTGGTCGATTTTTGAGAAGGTTCCATGAGCTGCAGAGAAGAAGGTATATTCTTTCCTATTAGGGTGGAATGTTCTATAGATGTCTGTTAAGTCCATTTGCGTCATTACCTCCATTAGTTCTCTTATTTCTGTTAGGTTTCTGTCTGATTGACCTGTCCATTGGTGAGAGAGGAGTGTTGAAGTCTCCTACTATTAGTGTGTGCGGTTTGATGGCTGCCTTGAGTTTTAGCAATGTTTCTTTTATGTACGTGGGTGCTTTTATATTAGGGGCATAGATATTCAGGATTGAGACTTCATTCTGCTGAACTATTCCTGTTATGCCCCTCTCCATCTCTTCTGATTGATTTAAGTTTGAAGTCAACTTTGTTAGAGATTAGTATGGCCACACCTGCTTGTTTCTTAGGTCCATTTGCTTGATAAGCCTTTTCCCAGCCCTTTACTCTGAGTAGGTGTCTGTCTTTGTGGTTGAGGTGTGTTTCTTGTAATCAGCAGAATGTTGGATCCTGTTTTCTTATCCAGTCTCTTTGCCTGTGCCTTTTTATAGGTGAGTTGAGTCCATTCACATTAAGTGATATTAATGACCAGTGGTTGTTCACTCCGGTCATGTTTTTAGTCATAGAGTTTGTGTGTTTTCCTTCTTTGATTTGTGTTGGTGAAGGGTCTCTCGATGTCTTAGTTATTGTGGTCATTGTTGGACTCCTTGGTTTGTGATTTTCCTTCTATTACTTTGTGTAAGTCTGGATTTGTGGCTGCGTATTGTTTAAATTTGTTTTTATCCTGGAAAATTTTATTTTCTCCATTTATAGTGAACGAAAGCTTGGCTGGGTATAGTAATCTGGGCTTGCATCCATGGTCTCTCAGTTTCTGCAGTACATCTCTCCAGGACCTTCTGGCTTTCATGGTTTCCATGGAGAAGTCCGGTGAAAGTCTGATAGGTTTACCTTTATAAGTAATTTGGCCTTTTTCCTTTGCAGCTTTTAATATTTTTTTCTTATTTTGTATGCTTTGTGTTTTGATAATTATATGGCGAGGGGATGTTTTTTTTTTTCGATCCAGCCTATTCGGTGTTCTGTATGCTTCTTGAACCTTCATAGGTATATCTTTCTTTAGGTTGGGAAAGTTTTCTTCTATAATTTTATTAAATATATTTTCTGGACCGTTGAGCTGCACTTCTTCTCCTTCTTCTACTCCTATTATTCTTAGGTTTGGTCTTTTTATTGTGTCCCAGATTTCCTGAATGTTTTGTGATGAGCGTTTGTTGGACTTGCTGTTTTCTTTGATCAGTGTGTTTATTTTCTCTATGGTATCTTCAGAATCTGAGATTCTTCAATCTCTTGTATCCTGTTGGTTATGCTTGTTTCTCTAGACTCTGTTTGTTTACTTAAATTTTCCATGTCCAGCCTTCCCTCTGTTTGTGTTTTCTTCTTTGCCTCCATTTCAGTTTTAAAGTCTTGAACTGTTTCCATTATCTGTTTGATTGTTTTTCCTTGGTTTTCTAGGGTATCATTCACTGATTTATTCAATTCTTTAAACTTTCTGTTATATTTCTCATCCATTTCTATAAGGGCGTTTTTTTTTACATGCTGTTTAAGGGCGTCAATCACTTTCATGAAGTCAATCTTTTCTACTTCTTCTTGATTAAGGTGTTCATGTCCTCCTGTTGTGAGGTCGCTGGTTCCTGGTGGCTTCATGTTGCTTTTCAGCTTGTTGGGCGAATTCTTGCCTTGGTGTCTGCCCATCTATTCTTCCAAATGCTCCCTTATGGATCTTCTTTTACTGGATCAGGTCTCCTTCCCTACCCAACGCTGGCTCTCCCCAACGTTGGTTCTCCTGGTGCCGAGAGATCAGGTCTCCATGCTGGTTGGGCGGCTCGCAAACAAAGCACCTACCCTGCTTGGTGCAGGCAGGCCATAGAAACAAAGGAACTCCCGCCTGCTTGGGTGCCCCGAGGATTCGGACCCAGTGCCCTGACAGGCTGGGCTGGGTGATGTTATGTCCCCAAAGAGGGCGGTGGGGCCGAAGTGGGGAGGGTTCTGGATGGAAGCTGGGTGGGCTAGGAAGAAAGAGGCGGTATGCAGGGAGTAGAGGCCCTGCCAAGAGCCCAAGAAGGATAGGGGGCCAAGGAACCTCTGAGCTCCCCGTCCCAGGCTGGCGGGGCCAGAAACTCTGATCAACTAGTTCTGAACTGTGGGAGATAAGTCCCAAATCTGTGACAGAAGGGGCTAAGCTACAAAGAGAAATCTACAGCAAGAAACAGTCACTTTATTCACAAGGCAATAATTCCAACATGCTTGCATCGTGGCCTCATCCTCCAGTACAGAGTCCCTGACTCTGATGGGCTGACCTTGAGAAATGCGGCTGAGTAATTACTGGATGATTCCTTGGCTTGCAGCATTCTAAAGGGAAAACTTGGCTTTGGCTTCACACCTGACTCTTGTCAATGAAGGCAGGGAGACAAAGCCTGAGGAAATCCCCCTTAGGCCCTCCACTGACTGAAGCCACAGAAGAGCATTCCAACAAGAGTCAGACCCAAAAAGCACACAGTGTGGCTAGTGAAGTCAATTCATGCTGCACACCTTAGACTTTAGCATTGTTCACCTCTGTTTTTCAAAGAAAGGGACCTTAAGTGTCATAGTTATGATTATGACCGGAAAAATTACATTGCTAAAAGATGCTATTTGCCGCCATGTCAAAGACTAAATGAAATTTAAAATCAGATCAGGCTTTAAAAATAAGCTTTTCAATAGCATATGCACTTGCTGCTTTATCTCCCTTAAGTATTTCCTTTTTGTCTGATGCCTCAGGGGCCACCAATTCCAGCATGCTAGGGACAAAGGCAGATGCATCTCTGTGAGGTGTCAAGTCGAGGGCTTGACAGGTCCAGCCTGGTCAAGTGAGAGAATTTCCTTTTGTAAATAAAAGGTTAAGGGTGTTTGTGAGGTTCATTATTCAATTTTTCAGGGTGAGAATGCCATGCTATTGTAGTTCAACTCAAAGGCCACATGAATTTGGCCCTAGGCACACCCGGTCCTCTTGTTTCAATATTCTGGTGTGACAGATCACTCAGAAAAAGGATTATTGTCTTTGTACAAAATCCCTATATATTTGATTTTTTTCATATTTGTTGAAGTTCTTGGCTATAAGCCAAAGAGAAATACAGATTAGGTTCTGGGCTGAGGGTCTTCCCCTTCACTGGTCCCCTTATAATCTCTGTTTCTGCATCGTTCTTCCACATGACTGTCCCCAGCTTACTCTGTCCTAGCCATGGTGGCCTCCTCTCTGTTTCTCTGATATACGTCACCCCAGGCCTTTGCAGCTGCAGAAGAGCCTTTCATCTTCTGTCAGACCTCACCTCACAGTCCCCTTTGTCAGGCTTTGGCTTTAATGCTCTGCTTAAAGTGAGGCCTTCCCTGACCAGTCCATGTAGAATGATAACCCCAGCTCCGCCATCCCTGATTTTCTATTTCTTCCTGTTTTCTCCATATCGTGTATTACTATTCTAGACATTTTACTCCTTTGTTTTATTTTTGTGTCTCTCTGACACCACAAGGAAGTAAGCCCATAAAACAAGACTTATTTCTTTTTGATTTGCTTTATTTTCCTGTTATTGATGGTCAAGGCAAAGTCTTGGACATGCCAGCCAAGGGTTGTGTTTGTTTTTGACTTATTTTTATGATATCCCCAGTAGTCCAATGAATATCAGACAAAGGAGTGTTCAGAAATTGTTGAACAAATATATCATGATGGTACACACACATACACACATACACATGTGCGCGTGCACACACACACACACACACACACACACACACACACACACACACGTAATTTCTGCAGTTCAAGAGCCAAAGTCAGAAATGTCAGGAGGTTGACGTCAGCCTGAGTGATAATGCCAGTCTGAGGCTTCTTTTTGTTTCAGAGATAGACACTGTTTGAAAAAAAAAAAAAACAAGAGTTGAACAAACTAATAATATACATTGCATGCATGCATGGATACACACAGAATATCCAGAGGTTAACACACCTCTTGCAGAATCTTGGATTTAAGGGCAAGAAATTCTGCTCCAACAGTGAATCACTAAGACACTGAGTTTTCCAACTCCATTTTCTCCCAAAGATAAAACCTGTTTTATCACTATAATCATTGCATGTATATTCTTACTTTCCTGGAGTTCCCCTCCACACGATTTCCCTGGGTGCTAAGTTGGAAATATGTATAATTCATACCAAGTAATTAAGAGTGAAATCTGACCCTTGGTTTATTTTGTTTTGTGTTGTCGAACAAGGTCTTGCTTTATAGTCCAGGCTGGCTCAAACTTGCAATGTAGCACAGGCTGACTTGGTACTTCTGATCAAAGTGCCGAGTCGAAGTGCTGAGTGTACTGACATGTGTCAGCACAGCTACCCATGAAGAAGGTTTGTAATGCAAGTTTTGGGGATGTGACCATTGTCCACATCAGCACGCAGTGTTATCAGACACTGTCAGCATTCTCTAAGTGACTGCCCATACATGCATGATACCTGGTGCTTCATGGGCTTTCAGTCTAGTCAGAGGAACTGCTATGAAATGACGTCACAGAAAGGACGTTGTGTCTTTTGTGCAGTGTTTCTGAGCAGGATGTCGATGAGTAAACTGAAAGAATTTTTGTTAGGTTACAATGCAGAAATATTGTTGCATTACTACTTTGATAATCCCTCCTGGGCAAGCACTGTGTACAGATCTCCACACTCACAGCCTCTTATTGTATCATTAGCGAATTTTCTTCTTTTCTTGAAATTTTATTATTCAGATTGTAAATATTTCCTAAGCACTTAATTTGGAAAAACTACAAATGATGAAAACAGGTCACCCTTTGTTACTTCTGCCTACAGGAAACTGGTAAATACAAACAGTGTGCTAACGCTACCAATCGGGAAATGTGCAACTGCTCAGAGGAACATAAGCTTTCCGATTTTCTTGATGTTTCAGATTGCAAAGAAAAGGTAAGATAAATTTTTTAAAAATATTTATTTGTTTATTTATTTATTTATTTATTATGTATACAATATTCTGTCTGTGTGTATGCCTGCTGGCCAGAAGAGGGCACCAGACCTCATTATAGATGGTTGTGAGCCACCATGTGGTTGCTGGGAATTGAATTCAGGACCTTTGGAAGAGCAGGCAATGCTCTTAATCACTGAGCCCTCTCTCCAGCCCAGGTACGATAATTTGTAATTACCTGATGATGACGTGTTTCCTATTCCCATGATTGGAAAGGTGCCTTTTAGTTAGACATGAAAACACAGACATGGGGGTTAGAGGCAGAGCTGAGTGGGTAAGAGTACTTGATGCTTTGGCTGAGGACCCAGGTTCAATTTCCAGAACCCAAGGCAGCTCACAAACTTCTATAACTCTAGTTCTTGAAGATCTGTTGCCTTCTTCTGGCTTCCACAGGCACTGTATGGATTCAATTTAGAGACAGACATGCAGGCAAAAACCTGTATACATTAAAACATATCCTTAAAATAATAATAATTAAATCTCACAAGTGGAAATAATGCCTATTATGACTTAGAACTAAATATGACATAGCTAAAAGTATTGGACTTTTGTACCTACAGGAATTAAGTAGACTTAATCCTGAGTAAAACAAATACCTGCCCTGACTTCTCCATTGCATGCAATGCATATAAAAATACATATGTAGACACACATGTCTATGTGACAACGATGTATAACTAATGAAGCACAATACCATATAATGGTGAAATCTGGTTCATTACAAAGTTTTACAGCTAGTATGTCCATGTTCTTGAGCATAAAGTTTAAAGTCTTTGTAATCCAGAGTTCAGTCCGGCAGTAGTCACAAATAATGACAATATAAGAGATCTGCGGTGCTAACTCAAGAGGACAGAGTGCTTCCTACCCACGCTTGGAAACAACAGTTAAGATCCTCAGCACCTATAGAAAACTGAATGCATTTGTTGACTCACCTGTGATGCTAGTACTTGACAGACTGAAGTAGGTGATCTCCAGGCTAGACAGCTAGCTAGATGAGCCAAAGTGGTAAACTCTGGGGTCAGCAAGAGACCCCACCTAAGCAAATAAAGTAGTAAGTGATCAAGGAAGACACACAAAGGACATATGCTCCTTCATACCCTTGAATGCATACAATATGCACACCTACATGAACAAACACCACACATGAGCAAATATGCAAAAAAGGCAGTATAATTGGTTAGTTAAGCAAATAAGTTCTGGGGCCTGAGAGATGGTTCTGTGGATAAAAGCACTCACTCTAAAAGGAAAAGGACATGAGTTTTAACACCCGCCTTCATGCAATTGCTGGGCATGGCCACATGTCTCTGCAATCCCGGTGTTCAGGCATTAGAGATACATGGATCCAGTGAGCTCACTGATTATTTTTCTTTTTTTTTTATTTTTCATTTTATTGAGAAAAAAAATTTCCGCCTCCTCCCGGCCTCCCACTCCTCTCCCCCTCCCCCCACTCCTCTCCCCCTCCCTCTCCAGTCTAAAGAGCAGTCAGGGTTCCCTGCCCTGGGGAAAGTCCAAAGTCCTCCCCCCTAAATCCTGGTCTAGGAAGGAGAACATCCAAACTGGCTAGGCTCCCACAAAGCCAGAACATGAAGTAGGATCAAAACCCAGTGCCATTGTCCTTGGCTTCTCAGCAGACCTCATTGTCCGCCATATTCAGAGAGTCCGGTTTTATCCCCTGCTTTTTCAGTCACAGTCCAGCTGGCCTTGGTGAGCTCCAATAGATCAGCCCCACTGTCTCCATGGGTGGGTGCACCCCTTGTGGTCCTGACTTCTTTGCTCATGTTCTTCCTCCTTCTGTTCCTCATTGGGGCTTTGGGAACTCAGTCCAGTGCTCCAGTGTGGGTCTCTGTCTCTATCTCCATCCATCGCCAGATGAAGGTTCTATGGTGATATGCAAAATATTCATCAGTATGGCTATAGGATAGGATCATTTCAGGTTCCCTATCCTCATCTGCCCCCAGGAATTAACTGGGGACCTCGGCTTGGGCACCTGGAAGCCCCTCTAGGTCCAAGTCTCTTGCCAACCCTAAGATGACTCCCTTAATTAAGATATGTGCTTCCCTGCTCCCCTATCCAACCTTCCTTTATCCCAATAATCCCGTTGCCCCAAGTTCTCCCCATCCTACCCTTCTCACTTTTCTCTCCCCATCTCCCCTTACCCCCCTCCCACCCCACCCTTAAGATCCCGATTTTTGCCTGGCAATCTTGTCTACTTCCCATACCCAGGAGGATAGCTATATGTTTTTCTTTGGGTTCACCTTCTTATCTAGCTTCTTTAGGATAACAATTTATAGACTCACTGACCTTTATTTATGGCTAGAACCAAATTATGAGTGAGTATATCCCTTGTTCATCTTTTTGGGTCTGGGTTACCTCACTCAGGATACTATTTTCTATTTCCATCCACTTGCATGCAAAATTTGAGAAGTCATTGTTTTTTACCGCTGAGTAGTACTCTAATGTGTATATATTCCACACTTTCTTCATCCATTCTTCCATTGAAGGACATCTAGGTTGTTTCCAGGATCTGGCTATTACAAATAATGCTGCTATGAACATAGTTGAACAAATGCCCTTGTCATATGATCGGTCATCTCTTGGGTATATTCCCAAGAGTGGTATTGCTGGGTTCAGGGGTAGGTTGATCCTGAATTTCCTGAGAAACCGAAACACTGCTTTGCAAAGTGGTTGCACAAGATTGCATTCCCACAAGCAATGGATGAGGGTTCCCCTTCCTCCACAGCCTCTCCAACAGAGGCTATCATTGGTGTTTTTGATTTTAGCCAATCTGACAGGTGTAAGATGATATCTCAAAGTTGTTTTGATTTACATTTCCCTGAACGCTAAGGAGATTGGGCATGACCTTAAGTGTCTTTTGGCCATTTGAACTTCTTCTGTTGAGAATTCTCTGCTCAGATCAGTGCCCCATTTTTTAATTGGGTTAATTAGCATTTTAAAGTCTAGTTTCTTGAGTTCTTTATATATATTGGAGATCAGACCTTTGTCTGTTGCAGGGTTGGTGAAGGTCTTCTCCCAGTCAGTGGGTTGCCTTTTTGTCTTAGTGACAGTGTCCTTTGCTTTACAGAAGCTTCTCAGCTTCAGTAGGTCCCATTTATTCAATGTTGCCCTTAATGTCTGTGCTACTGGGGTTGTACCTAGGAAGCGATCTCCTCTGCTCATCTGTTGTAGGATACCTCCCAATTTCTCTTCGATCAGGTTCAGTGTGTTCGCACTGATATTGAGGTCTTTGATTCATTTGGATTTGAGTTTTGGTCATGGTGATAGATATGGGTCTATTTTCGTTCTTCGACAGGTTGACATCCAATTGTGCCAGCACCATTTGTTGAAGATGCTTTCCTTCTTCCATTGTATACTTTTAGCTCCTTTATCGAAAATGAGGTGATCATAGGTATGTGGGTTAAAGTCTGGGTCTTCTATACGATTCCATTGGTCGACTTCTCTATTTTTATACCAATACCAAGCTGTTTCCAATACTGTAGCTCTGTAGTAGAATTTGAAGTCAGGGATGGTAATGCCTCCAGAAGATCCATTATTGTATAGGATTGTTTTGGCTATCCTGGGTTTTTTGTTTTTCCATATAAAGTTGATTATTGTCCTCTCAAGATCTGTGAAGAATTTTGATGGGACCTTGACGGGGATTGCATTGAATCTATAAATTGCCTTTGGTAGTATTGCCATTTTTACTATGTTGATCCTCCCAATCCAAGAGCAAGGGAGATCCTTCCATTTTCTGGTATACTCCTCAGTTTCTTTCTTCAATTCCTTAAAGTTCTTGTCAAATAGATCTTTCACTTCCTTGGTTAGAGTTACCCCAAGATATTTTATGCTCTTTGTGGCTATCGTGAAAGGTGAAGCTTCTCTGATTTCCCTCTCTGCTTCCCTATCCTTTGTGTATAAGAGGGCGACTGATTTTTTGGAGTTGATCTTGTGTCCTGCCACATTACTAAAGGTGTTTATCAGCTGTAAAAGTTCTTTGGTGGAGTTTTTGGGGTCGCTTATGTACACTATCATATCATCTGCAAATAACGAAAGTTTCACTTCTTCCTTTCCAATTCGAATCCCCTTGATCCCCTTATGTTGTCTTATTGCTATTGCTAGAACTTGAAGCACTATATTGAAGAGGTATGGCGAGAGTGGACAGCCTTGCTGTGTTCCTGATTTTAGTGGGATGGCTTTGAGTTTCTCTCCGTTTAATTTGATGTTAGCTGTCGGTTTGCTGTAAATAGCTTTTAATATATTTAGGTATGACCCTTGTATCCCTAATCTCTCCAATACTTTTATCATAAAGGGATGTTGAATTTTTTCAAAAGCTTTTTCAGCATCTAATGAAATGATCATATGTTTTTTTTCTTTCAGTTTATTTACATGATGGATTACATTGATAGATTTTTGTATGTTGAACCAGCCCTACATCTCTGGGAAGAAGCCTACTTGATCATAATGGATAATTTTTCTAATGTGTTCTTGGATCCGGTTTGCCAGTATTTTGTTGAGGATTTTTGCATCGATGTTAAAGAGTGAGATTGGCCTGTAATTCTCTTTCTTGGTTGAGTCTTTGTGTGGTTTTGGTATCAGAGTAACTGTAGCTTCATAAAAGGAATTTGGCAATGCCTCTTCTGTTTCTATATGTGAAATACATTAAGGAGTATAGTTATAAGCTCTTCTTGGAAGTTCTGGTAGAATTCTGCATTGAAACCATCTGTTCCTGGGCTTTTTTTTTTTTTGGTAGGGAGGTTTTTGATAATAGCTTCTAATTCTTCGCGACCAACAGGTCTATTTAGATTGTTCACCCGGTTCTGGTTTAACTTTGGTATATGGTATTTATCTAAAAAAGTGTCCATTTCTTTTACATTTTCCAGTTTTGTGGCATACAGGCTTTTGTATTAAGATCTAATGATTCTCTGGATTTCCTCTGTGTCTGTGG